GTTTTTGTATGTATGTATGTATGTATGTATGTATGTATGTATGTATGTATGTATGTATGTATGTATGTATGTATGTATGTATGTATGTATGTATGTATGTATGCATGTATGTATGTATGTATGTATGTATGTATGTATGTATGTATGTATGTGTGTGTGTATGTATGTATGTATGTATGTATGTATGAATGTATGCATGTATGTATGTATGTACGTGCGTATGTAGGTATGTATATATGTATGTACTCTTACTTTTGAACTATATTTGGTTTCATATCATTTAATTTATTGAAATGCTATAGAATCCTAAATTCAAAACTTTAATTTTATGTACTCATTTTGAACTATATCTCTGTTTCATAAGATTAATAGAATAGAATCTGCAGTTCAATAACTTTTGATTTATTTCGATCTAGTTTAATCCTTGATTTTTGTCGAACTATTTTAATTTTTGATTTTTGCTATCAATGTTGATTTTATTTGGATAGGGTGACTTTCTTACAAGCATTTGGTTGCTTTTTTAGTTTACCCCTCTTTTGAGAAAATAAACGAATTGAATTGAATTGAATTTCCGTAAATTTCGATCTCAGTTTTCTACAAAGAAAATATGGACATCACGGGAAAGTAACGCTGGAATAATTTATTTAGAGTACCTCGTCATTCCGCCTAACCCAGATGACTACAAAAACACTCAATTTTTTAACGGTACAACTAAACAACACATTCCTACGAGACTTATTTCGTCTGTTAGGAGAGTAGGACAGGTTTGTTTGGTGTTTGATTGGCTGGTTGGTTAGATATTTTATTGCCTGGTTGGATGATCTGATGTCTGATTGGTTGATTGGTCGACTCACGCAAATACACACGCACGCGCACATTTTCACGTCATCAGGAATCATTGTTACCAAAGATCTCACATGCACTGAGGTGTTTATATGAGAGGGCATATGAACCATCGCCAAATCTCATCATTCATTTTCATGGGGGAGGTTTTTTGGGGCAATCTTCTGCTTCACACGAGGTTTCTTCATTTCTTCATTTTTATATTTATTCATTTTCGTATTCATTCAACAATTCATTGAACGATTCGTTTGTTCATTTATTGATTCATTCATTCAGCCATTCATTCATTCGTCTCTTGGAACCTCGCCAACCGACCAACTAATGATGAAACACCCCCACTCAGGTGTACCTGCGTAGGTGGGCGGTAGGCACGGGCTCTCCCATATTTTCTGTAGACTACTCTTATTCACCGCAGTTCAAAGCACCATTTCAATTGGAGGAGGCCTTTTTTGCTTACTGTTGGGCCCTTGAAAATTGCAAATTACTTGGTTGGTTGATTGGTTGGTTGATTGGTTGGTTGGTTGGTTGGTTGATTGGTTGGCTGGTTGATTGGCTGGTTGGTTGATTGGCTGGTTGGTTTGTTTGTTGTCTGTTTGATTGATTTACTTTTATTTGCATTACAAAATTTTTTTTCCAAATCTCAAACAGGGTCTACAGGGAAGCGAATATGCATTACTGGAGACAGTGCTGGTGGCAATCTTGCTATCGGAGTCTGTCTAATGGCTATTCAACGGTTGGTTGGCTGGTTGATTGGTTGGCTGGTTGGCTTGGTTGATTAGTTTATTGGTTGGCTGGTTTGTTGGATGGTTTTTAGTTTGTTATAGCTTTGTGATGGTATTTTTTCAACTCATTGATGGTGTTTTTGAACTTTAATACTATTTCAAAAACCATGAACAAAATTTTTAACAATACAAACAACAACACGAACGAAATGCAGTAACGTGCGCATACCAGACGCATTGTACCCACTCTATCCCTGCCTACTAATCCAGTACAAACCCGGACCATCACGCATGCTCTCAATCATGGATCCTCTAATTCCCATGGGCGTCCTGGCCAACTGTTTGCAGGGTCTGTAAATTTTGACTACTACGCTGGTCTGTCTGTAAATAATTTTTTGTTGTTTTTGTTGGTCTGTCTGTAAATTTTTTTTGCCATCGTGTGTAAATTTGTTTACGGCGTGAAATTTTTTCAATTTTTATCAAATTGAAATGTATTAAATTATATTTTTATTTAGCCTACTTAGGCGTCAGCTCTGAAGAGCCAACCAGAAAACATCAGACCAACCAATCAAATTCTTCAACCAATCAGGAAGCTACAAACGCCGACCAATCACAAACAATCGTCGTCTTCGATAATGATTATGATGAAAATGATAAAAATAACAATGGCGACGATCGAGATCATGATGATAATGATATTTATGATGATGATAATGATGATGATGATGATGATGGTTTTACTGACGAAGACGCCGTATGTAAAGTACATTTTGTAAATGTGACGCCGTCTAATCAACATCAATCTAATTTCGCAGCAGCATTACAACAACAACTACCTTTCACAGACAAAAACGACAATAATAACAACTACAACAAATTTGACACCAATGACGTCACCAACGCTGACAACAACAACAGCCATAATTTAATTAAAACCAAAGACGTTAAAAACACACACAACAGAAACGATTCGGGTTTTTTTGATGCATTCAATCTTCGCAGCGGTAGGACAGGAAAAGGAAAGAGAACAAAAATATCAAACACGGAAGATCACGAATATCAGGAAGATAACACAGATACAAAATTTAATAATAAAATTAAGCAGGGTAATACTAAAAGGTTTTCCTATACAATTGAAGAAACCAGCTGCGATGGCAGTGATGATGATGATGACAACTATAGCAGCAACATCAATAATAACAATAACAACAATAATTACAATAACACTGACGATTTTGACAGTATAATTTCTCAAACTAGTAATTGTGGTGATAGCAATGATAGTATCAGTAGAAACGCTAGTATTAGTAGCTTCAGCAGCAGCAGTAGTAGTAATATCGGTAGTAGTAATAATGGTAGTAGTAGTAGTAGTTGTCGCTATAGTAGTAGTAATGATGGTAATGATTACCTAACGCTGTCATCACCTGGAATCATAGTCGTTGATTCGGAAAATGCGGCCATAAATAACTCTTCGGAATTCCCGATGAATCGTGATGTGGATTTTTCAACTGGAGATAACCCGGACAGCAACTACGAAGACTATGATGGTGACGACGGTCGCTATAATAATAATAACAACAATAATAACAACAACAATAATAATAATAACAACAAGAGAAGAAATACGAGAAATAGTGTTGTTCCTCTGGAGGCAGAAAAGTATAATGTGAACCCTGATGTGGCTTCATATGCACAGCTTAAAGCATTCAATGTTCGTTCTATGATTGTTGTTGTTGTTATTGTTGTTATTATTTTTATTATTATAAGTTATGGTGTAATCATTTCTTCATAGCCAGGCCATCTTCATAAACTTAATCACCAAAAACGTCATCGTCATCATTGCCAACTTCATCGTCATCATCATCATCATCATCATTGCCATCATCTTGATCATCATCATGACAAACAACGTCATCATCATCATCATCATCATCAATACTTCCAGGTAAGTCCCATGCAAAAGTCCTTACGTAGCAATCCAGGTGACTCCATATTCATCTCACCTGTTCTAGCTCCTGATCATCTTCTACGAAAACTCCCTAAGACCCATATAACGGTCTCTATTGTTTTCTTCCTTTTATTATATTTTTATTTTATTATTATTATTTCATACATTGTTATTATCATTATTTTTTACACATAGGCCTGTCACCTAGATCCACTTTTAGACGATTCGGTACTTTTCGCGCGCAAAATTCGTGATCTTGGCGTCGATGTTGATCTTGATTTCGTCTCTGATCTCCCTCACGGGTTCATGAACTTTGTGAATATGTCTAGAGAGGCTTATAATGCTGGCGAAATGTGCTTGAAGAATTTAAAGTCGCTTTTGGATGAATAGAAAAGAGTGAACGAACAAATGAATAATGAGTGAATGAATGAATTAATGGTCAATTGTTCAATGTGTTATTTATTTTCCTGATTATTCCACCCTTCAGTAAACTGGTGCAATTAAACCATGTATTAATTCTTCTTCATTCGTTTTGTTTCCGTTCATATACTTAGAATTTCTTTAGTATTATATATATATATATATATATATATATATATATATATATATATATGTATGTATGTATTTTATGTATATGTATTCGTATGAAAGAAATTGGACATTTTATTGTGACCTGACTGCATTATTCATGTGTAATACTGCAACAAAACAATACTTTTTTGACCTTTATTGATTTTCTTTTTAATCAAACGATTATTATAAATATCAATTATTATTATTTTTTATTATTATTATTAATATTATGGCCGGCTCGGTGATAGATAGATCGATTGAGTTAGGATGTTATTGTTAACTTTCATTCCTTTCTCTTGTGCAAAATGTCAATTATTGTTTTATCTTATATATATATATATATATATATATATATATATATATATTCATTTAATATTTTAGTAGTCAATATAGATTTTATTCGATCTTTACTCCAGGATTTAATATATAACACATTAATCTGTTAGATTATTATTTAGGAATACATATTTTCTTTTATTTCTTTCATTTTTTACTTCGAAATAGAAATAGAAAAATTGTTTTTGTCTAAAATGTTGCATGCAATTTCGTCGCTGTAGATCACGACTAGCGAATGTTACGGTTTGAAGCTAGTAATCTATACCGAAAATCTATGAGAAGCATTAAGTCAATGGTGTACTTCTTGGTATTTGTCAGTTTCGGTTCGCTATCTCGGTTTGCTTCGATACTGTTGGTGATGTTTTCAATAGTTTCTGTAATATTATAAGTAGTATTTAGAGTATTTGTATGTGTCAGCGATTTGTAGTGTCAGTAGCAGTAGTAATATTTGTATTTGTGGTAGTAGCGGCAGTAGTAGTTTTCTAGGCGACTGAAGATCAAGGTGAAAAAATGAAGTTAGAATTTAAATTCTGTATTAAAATTGTAGATTAACTTTATAATAATCTAAAAATGTTATTTAAACTCATAAACACCAATCTAATAATTATCAACCAAACCATTATTAACCGATCAATAATTAATTCAAGAAATATCAATTAAATATCATTTTAAAAACCATCTTTTACAGCGCTAAAGATTTAATACAATGTTTGGAATTTCCCAAAATTTCTGCAAAATACCGAAAATAGAAAAAATTTCCGTTTTAAGGTGCAATTAGTTTTAGTAGCTAGCCACAATATGTTATATATACATACATACATTACGTATAGTTTTTGTACAATATCGTTATGTAAGAATTTGTTTTCTGTTATTTGTCTGTTGAAAGTTCTATCAAATAATTTATTTAAATTTGCCTTGCTTAACTTAATTTAATCCACTCCCGAGAGTTAAACGTCGTTAAAGTTGGCAATTTCTTTAATTTTACTCTCACAAAATTTTAAATTACGTTGTTCAGAATCGAAATGTCAAGTCTGACGCTAAAAGCTTTTAACAAGCAAAAACCAGTGACTCACATCTAAAGAAGTCATATTGGAATTTATTTAATCATATCATTTTACTTTATTGTTTTTATATACATAATTATAATACAAAAACACACATGTAAATGTAATTCACACACAGACAGACACACACACACACACACACACACATATATATATATATATATATTCATGGCCACCCACACAAGATATACAATATACAATGTAAAAATATACAAAAAATTGAATTTGTATTACATACTGAACTGAATTTTTATTGTATACAAAAGTTTATTTGCTCTACTCTACACCTCACCTATCTACTACAAACCGACCTACCAAACCAACCTACCTGCCTATCTATCTTACTAGATAATCTTTTTTTCCACTAGACTGCCTGAAGCTAAACAATGACTGTATGTACCTTATGAATAATAATGAAATTAGGTTGTTATATATATATATATATATATATATATATATATATATATATATATATATATATATATATATATTATGGATCAATTGAAATTCTGAATGCCTGAATGATGACAGGATAGACATTAAGCTAACAATGGTGAAGTAAAATAACCAGATTTCAGTGGAAAGTATTTTTTCTCATTTGGCTGCTATAAGAGTAGTATGAAATTGAGATTTGGTTTAGACTTTTTAGAAGAATAAATGTTAATGTTATATTTCTCCTACATATTATATTTTTTAAGATTTAGTAAGAGATTTTTGTTGTCATTTTCTCATATTTTTTAAAAGATTTTTACTCAACTTTTCAATTTTTTTTTCTGATTTTAAAATAATTGTATGTATATACATATAAGTGAATATACATATATAAGTCTCTCTCTTTCTCTCACTCTCCTCTTAAACTCTCTCTCTCTTTTAAATGACTCAATGAATCAACAGGTATTTTTATTTCTATGGTAAAACCATAATAAAAATAGCACTAGTTTGCTATATATTTAATTTAACTCATTTAATTTAATTTATATATATCTATTTAATGAGATATTATGGCTGATTATACATAATAATATAATATTATTAATAATTATGATCTGGGAAAGTATTTTTTAAACTTTATATTACATGATTGCCGTCAGGACTCTCTGTGATTTTTCACATTTTTAATAAGCCATTTGAGAAGTTTTTTAAATTATCTTCCAACAGTGCCACAATGTTAATGATTTCTTTAAAATAATTTTCACGATGATACCTACGTAATTTATTATGATTGATTCATAATTTCATCAAATAATTTTCTTTTCAAAATTAGAAATGTTATGAGAGAGAGAGAGAAAGAGTGAGAGAAAGAGAGAAACTAAAATGAATGAAAATGAAGAGAGCCAGAGAAGACTGGATGCTGCCATAGCAATCAGTCAACTATGCAACTACCAAACCAACAACAACAAAAAGTGTAAAAACAACAACAACAACAATAATAATGACAACAACAACAATAATAATAATAATAATAATAAATCATACCAAAATCAACCAAATAACCTAATCTTTAGTGTTAGCGAGGTACTCAAAGACGATGTTAACACTGAATCAATTAAATTAATCAACGAAAACCACAACAACGGCACATCACCACTTATTTGTGGAACCTTTTTAGAACCTTTAGATCTTTCGAGAAAAAATTTCAAGGATAAAATCGGTACCAGAAATGACTTAACTAATGTCAGTAACGATTTGTCTATATCTTTGAAGAACTTTCATCATTTAGCTAGCAATGATAACAATAGCAAAATCAATAATAATAACAACAACAACAATAATAACAATAATAATAATAATGACGTCATCAATAATAGCAATAATTATTATAATTATATTAATGGTAACAATTTTACATTGAACAATTTTTTTGACTTTGACAAAATCAAATTGCTCCAGACATCTCCAACAATTATAACATCATCATCGTCGTTATCTACATCATCATCATCCTCATCATCGTCTACATCATCATCGTCATCATCATCTTCATCGTCGTCATCACTGACGTCATCAGCATCGTCTTCAGTAGTAGCCAAAATCTCAAATGAAATTTTAATCACAAAGGTACCAGGCCAGCTGAATTCGCTGAATTCATTCTACGCCAAAAGGTCTAAATTCTTTTTAACAACAGCAACTACGAAACCCTTGCCGAACATTAAAACGCTCGGCAACGATAGCCTTGTTAATGTTACCAACAACAGCAATTATGTTAATGTCACAAACGGCAACATTAATAACAATAATATTAGTGTTATTAGCAACGTTTACAGCAACAATACCAGCATGGTTGATGTTGCAAGCAACGTCAGCAGCAGAAACAACAACAACAACAATGTTGAGGTCATCAACAGCAACAACAATTTTAATGTTACCAGCAATAGCAGCTGTTTTAATGTTACCAACGACATCAACGACAACAGCGTTAATGCTATCAAAGACATCAACAATAAAAACAACATCAGAAACGTGAGCTACAACTTCAGCAACAATATAAATCACAACAACAACATCAACAACAACCACATCATCCACAACATCAATAACTATAATTTATTCTCCAATTACATCAACAACAATCACAACAACAACAACAACGCTAACAACAGTAATGTCGCTCTAACAAAATCCCAAAACGTCAAGTTAGACGAATGTGACGCCAATGCTAGAACCAAATTCAAACCGCCAATGGTTCCAGTTATGGTTCTCGAAGGAATTGATGATCTAGAAGATAGACAGAAGACAAAGAACAAAAAAAGAAAATCGAATAATAACAATAACAATAATATCTATAATAACAATTTTGATAACTGTAACGACGATAATAACAACATCAATATTAATTTCAAGGGCAAAAAGCTGAAAGTGAACTCTTACGATAGACATTGTAGAAAATTTCAGAAGGAGAAAATAACAACAACATCATCGTCAACAACAACATCAACAACAACAACAGCAACACCATCATCGTCGTCGTCGTCGTCATTATCCGCTACTAATACTGCTTTATCATTTATTATAAGTGATAATAATGATACTACTGCTGAGTATTGTACTACTACTATTACTACTACTGCTACTACTACTACTACTACTGCTACTACTACTACTGCTGCAATTGATGATGATGATGATGATGATGATGATGGTGATAATAATAATAATAATAATAATAGTAACAATTATAACGTAAATGGTGTTATTAACAACATCTATGACATCAACAAAAACATCAACAATTCTATTTACACGACATTTAGCCAACAGCAACAACATCATCAGCAGCTACAACAACAATATCAGCAGCTACAACAGCAACTGCAGCAACAGCAGCAGCTTCTACAACGGCAGCAACAACAACTACATCAAAAACACAATATACCTATCAATGTTTTAATGCTAGATAGTGCACAGCAAAGTTTAAGTGATGTTCCAATAGCACTAACTACTTTAACCAACAACATCAACAACAACAACAACAACGATGACATTAATAATAACATAGCACACACTGACAACAAAAAACCAAACAACAACATAATAAGCAGTGCAGTCAACAGCATTAACAATATAAACGTTAACAACAACCTAATCAACAACATTCTAAATAACATTAATTACAATAACTACTCTTGCATCAAAAACAACAACATGAACAACAACATCAACATTTTCAATAACAACTACTGGAGGAGCATCATTACCCATCATTTATTACCCAGCAACATCAGTAGTGTTGATGTAAGTTGTAGTAGTGCTACAACTCCTACAACCACCACTTATAGTCATATTACAAGCAGTAATACCATGAACAACAACCACAACAACATTAATAATAATTATAATAATATGAATAGTAATAATATAATTAATAATATTAATATAAGTTTTAAAACTGGATTAGGCTTGTTATGTCCCGTGACAGCAGCAAGCCAAACTACACCCGATCTTAACGTATTCTCTACAGCTGACAACTACAATAATGACATCGACAACGACAACCAAAACATCGGTGACACCATTAACAACAACAACGTCATATCGACCAACAATACTATTAACTACGTAAACAGTAATGTTACTAACGACAGTGACATCAACAATAACATCAGCAACCAAATGATCTCAAATGCTAGTGCCTCAAATCGACAAACTTCAAGCACAGCTAGCGTCAAGGCAGATTCAGATGAAAATTTCCCATTACTAAAATTAGATACTACGGAAATTCCTTCAACGGTAAAAACTGAAATTAAAGTCGAAAGTGAAACCAGTCTAAAAACAGAAATAGCGGGAAGAACTTTAGAAAAACCGACGGAGAGAGTAATTTTGCATCCAAAAGTTAGGCTGAAGATGCAATCGAAGCTTTCCGCGACGTCGTCTTCATCATCATCAACATCGTCATCGTTCTCTGCAGTATCATCAGATACGTTTGGCGGCACAACACCAGTATCATCTTCGCCATTTCTATGGTCGACGATGTCAACAACAACACCAACAACAACAACAATTACCTCGTTGTTAAATTACAACAGCACTGCTAACAATAACACTTACAACCATAATGAAATTAAGAACAACGAAAATGACATCAACAACAACAACAACAACAATATAAATAGCATCAACAAAAAGATGAACAACAACAGCTTCAACAACACTGACGTGGTCAATAATCCTACTATAATTTTGCAATTACTTATAGATTGTTCAACCGTCTCTGGTCAACCTCTTCAAACAACGACACAAACACAGACATCACCAGCATCAATTACATCTACATCTACATCATCAACATTTCCATTTATGATAACAACGACTTCAACAACAACAACAACAACAACATCAACATCAATAACAACAACAATGACGTCATCATTAACAACGCACGCAACAATGACAACAGCAACATCTCCGTCAGTAGCAGCAGCAGCAACAACAACTTTATTTAACATACCTACAACAACGTTACTACCAGTAACGCTGTTCAGCAACACGTATCCACAAACATACATTGAATTCATAAATGCCTCTATGAAATCTTTAAAAAATAGCGCTTACGTTAACATCAACAACAACATCAACAACAACATCAACAACAACAACGGCAAAAACAACAACGGCAAAAACATCAACAAAGACATCATCAACTACCGTCTCAACAAGAACGTTTCATTCATTAATCTCTGTAGTACAACAACATCAGTAGCGAGTATGACTACTAATACTACGGCCGATGCCAACAACTATAACAACAACATCAACAACAATAACAACAACAACGATAACAATAATAATTATAATAATGGTGATGATATTAACAATAATAATAACGATGGTGATGATGATAACAATTACATCATGAACAGCGACACCAAGGACGACGATGATCAAAATAAATTTGCTAGTAGTAAAATTAATACTACTACTACTACTACTACTACTACTACTACTACTACTGCTGCTGCTGCTGCTACTGCTACTACTAATAACAATAATTCAAATACTACTACTATTACTCCTACTACAACTACTACTACTACTGCTTATAATAGTGCTAATAGTAACAATAGTCCAAACGACGGTGAATTATTCGGCGATGACGACGATGATGACGTCAACGATCCTAGTTCGAACATTCTATCACCAGATGAAGATGGCGATTAGTAGGCGTTATTATTATTATTGTTATTATTATTGCTGTTTTTTGTTGTTCTTATTGTTATTTTTATTCAGTCCAATCCACGTGGCTGTTGCGAAAAATGACATCAACAATGTTGTCCGCATCATAAGGTTGATGCTACGTCTCAATTGTGACATCAACTGTAAGGACGCCTCTAAGCAAGTTCGTTATCAATCAGTCAATCAATCAATCAACCAATCAATCATTCGATTGATCAATCAATTAGCCAATTAATCATTCGATCAATCAATTAATCATTCGTTTAATTTAAATCATCAACCAACCGACCAATTACAGACAGCACTGCACATAGCCATCCAGTCGAAACACAACGAAATTGCAAAAATTCTTTTGATGTTCGGGGCCAATGCCAACATCCTGGACAACAAGGGGCAGACGTGTCTGCATCTTGCTGTCGCCAACAACAACCGCGACGGATTAATCATCCTCATGAGACATTCTCCTAAATGCAAACTGGATTTCAACGTCAAAAACTACGAAGGTGATTGTTAGCTTTTCGCTTGCTTCAACCCATTAACTAGATTAAAAAAGTGGTTGCTGTAGTAGGATTCTAACCTAATTTAGCCACTATGCACGATGAATCTCACAAAACTAAAGATCGATAAACTTACAAAGCGTGAAATTTCAATCACGTAGGACTAACCCCGCTACACTTGGCAGTAACGAAACGAGACATCAACCTTCTTAGAACCTTACTGGAAAACGACATCGATCTAAACACGAGAGAAGGCAAAAGCGGTCGAACTGCCCTCTTCATGGCGGCCGAAACGAACCAACCAAACCTACTCAACGAACTCCTGTTTAGGGGTGCCTCTGATAATGTGGCCGACTACTCCGGCTGCACCCCGCTACAAGTGGCTTCTTGCAAAAATTACAACAAAATTGTCTACGATCTGAGAAGAGCTTCTGAAAATAGGATGAACTAGAACGCTCGGCTATAATGCAAATCGAAAATCGCGCTAAGTTACGAAAATAATTTGTCCAATTTATAGAAGAGTAGTTGATCAAAAGTTAAACTACTGTACCCGTAACTAATTAGTGATTACTGTCTAGTTATCGTTGCTAAGTATGACGCCCACACACACACACACACACACACACACACCTAAATACACACATACGCACACAAACCTGAATACAAATGCATGAGTGTAAAAATACCTGCGACATTACATAGTTAAAATTATTATTTCAAACAACTCTCACATTCATCTACAATTATTCTTTGACAATTTAAACTCCGAATGAAAACTTTAATGATAGTAATTACCGGCTTAATGGTAGATATCAGACTATACAGTATATAGAGATACAGATATATACATATAGATGTACCATTGACATTAGAAAACGTAGCAGTTATTTAATCTAATTTTCATAATTCAAAATTATTTTGTTTGATTTTCTTCAGTTTTTTTTTTTTTGTTAATACTTCTATGGACCGAGAATGAAACACACGTGGTACCAAAATGACAACCACAAACGCGTTCTTTTGCCTATTTTTTCCTCTTAAAAACTAACAAAACTGAAAGTAATGGAAGGAAATAACATTACACAACAAACGAAGACTTATCATCGTATTTAACAGAATTTCATAACAAAATAATTATAACAATTATATAAACGTTAACGAAGATTCAAAAAATTAATAAAAACTATAGTAATTAAGTTTTAGCTTTACTTTAACAGTTATTAATAACACTCACCAATGAGAAAAAAAAACCTTATCTGCTACAAAACTGTATACACCTTGTCAGCTGGCTTCATCAGGCCAGACATAATCCCATCAAACACTCCGAAATTGCTAACGTTATTAACATTACTACTACTGCTACAGCTAATATTACTACTACTACAATTACTACTGCTAGTAATCGAAGCATTATTTACGAAGCCGTTACTTTGGATACTGGTGATTTTACTTAAAGCTTGTTTGTCAGCGGCATCTACATCCGCAGATGATTGAGAATAAGTAGTTGTATTTGAATCACTTGGATTGGCGTTGTCGCTACTATTGGTCTTTGCAGAGTTTTCAACGGCTGCTACGTTCGTGCTAGTACTATTTAAACCATTATCATTATTATTGCTACTACAGCTGGGAGAATTGTAGGAAGTATTATTGTGAGTAACTTTACTGTTACTGTGCGTGGAAATACTTTTTCTTTTGACCCTCCTCTGCATATCCTTCTTAGCACCGTCACCGTCTTCGTCATCATTATTGAATATGCTGTCTATGTAGCAGTCGGTGACGCTGGTCATAAAGTTGCCATCACTCATCATCTCACTGGATATCTCAGTGTATCCAACTCTTCTCGATGACTCATTTTTTCCATAATGATGATGATGGTGGTGGTGAGCAGACGATGACGATGATGATGCTGGAGGTGGAGCTATAAGATCTGAGTGCTGCTCTAAGAGGTGAGATTTTACACTTGTGATGTCCAGCGTCGTGAATGGGCAAGTGGCACATTGGTAGGACTTGTTTGTTCTTACAGGCGCTGGTGACGGGGATGAAGACGCTGAAGAAGATAATGAGGATTTTGTAGGTTTCGATGAAGCCAAATTGTTGGATTTCATCGTCAATGATGATGACGACGACGACGACGAATGATGAGATGATTTGGAGGTGGTGTTGGTAGAATCTCTAATGGAATCAACGTCATTGCTGCAGTCCCCTTCATCCGTATCGAAACCACCATCACTGTCATCATCAGCATCATCGTTATCGGTGAATAAGCTACCAGACGACAAACGCCTATGTTTCCTCGATGATGATATATCACCGCTAGATGAACTTGATTTAACGTCACGCGAAGACGATTCTTTATTCTTAGCACCGCCTTTTGCCTGATCGTTTGACTCATCCGTGAATATACTGCTGGCACTGCTTGTAACCTTGAGAGGTAAGGGGCACTCGTTGGGAGTAGCGCGATGAGCTTCAAGTTCAAGGACGTCCTTGCAGTAGAATGCACACTTCAGGTGGGAGCAGAAAAGAACCATTTGTCTTTTGCGAAGTTCCTTAGCTCGAACATCAATGCAATGTGGAGTTTGATTATTTTTAACATTACTAGCGCCGGCGTTGTTAGTATTGCCAGCAGTTTCAGAAAATATTTCCAAGTGTTCTGCCACCATGTGCTGTTTTAGCTGCATAAAAATTATTTTTAGCTAAATTTTAATCAAAATAAATCACTTTTTCTTACAATTAAACAACAATGGCGCTAATAATTAGCACTGCATCACTAAATTGTAACAGCAGCAGTAGCAGTAGTAATAAATGATGTTTCAGACACATTTCAAAGACAAACAAACCGTAGTGGGTAGCTTGGATCTGTATCCGCAGGTAACACACCTGTACCTCTCCTCACAATCCTTCGAGAACATCCTCCTGGTACCAGGTCTCTTCAGTAACTTGCCATCAACAGTGTACTTGTCCCCGTCGACGCTGTATTTCCAAACTGAACACTTTGATGGCGATGATGTTGCAGTTGATGGTGCCACTGATGGAGAAGATGGTGCTAGAGAGGAAGATGTTGGTGCTCCGGTTATATGCTGCTTACTGTTGGATGTGGATATCTCTACGGTGTTGAGTTTCTGCGAATGAGCAGTGGCGTTGTTGTTGTTGTTACAGATGTTGTTGATACTACTACTACTACTATTATTGTTGGCACTCTCACTATTGGTAAATTTTTTCATTTCCAATGACGTTCCAGCGTTACTGAACATTTTCTTGAGTAACGTTAACCCAGAAACAATATTATTACTACTGCTGTTGCTATTTTTCAACTCTGAATTAGTAGTAATAAGAGCAGAACTAGTAGTAATGATTACTGACTGTTTTGTTGAGGACGCGGTTGATGCGATGGTAGCAGCAGTAGTAGTAGCAGCAGCTGTAGTAGAAGTGGCAGCGGCAATATTTTCTTTTACACTCGTGTGTACATCAGTACTGCTACTACCGGTATTATTAATGTTATCAACAGAAGTTGTGGTAGTGACACAAGCCACTTTACTCAAACACATCGTGTTGGCATTCGTGCTTACAATGTCGTTTTCCTCATCATTACAATTATCGTTGTTGTTAGCCTGGCTGCTATTGTTTCTACTGTCATTACTACTGCCCTGTACATTATGTGATCTGTTAGATTTCTTGTCAGAATCAACGTTTTTATTACCACTATTGCTATTGTTGTTGTTGTTATTGTTACTGCTACCATTATTGGTACCGTTGTTACTGTTATTATCACAATCATCGCCATTCTCATCCTCGTCGTCTTCATCATTTTTCTGGGATTTTCCGGACGAGTTATTTTTACTCTTTCGAAAGCCGCGGTGATTGGGGAATTCCCTGTAGTGGTCTCTCATTGTATTCCTGCGTCTAGTGATGTACTCGCAGCTGACGTCGTAGCAGGAGTAGAGTGGGGAGGGAGCCTTCAATCTCAATTTATTATTCATCGCTAATGAATGTTCTGGGGTGCCGTTTTTATCGGTTGATGTCGTCGTTGCTAGAAGTGAAGCTGCTGCAACAGCTGCACTGCCTGGCTGCTTGCATGATTTTCCTTTCAAAGATATGATCACAACCTGCGGTGTGATGATTTCAAATATTGACTACATCAAGTTTTCTGAGAATAATAGCTAATGTTTTGAGGCAGTCTACCGTCATTATTGGGCTAATTTATACAGGCATCAAAGTATTTTTTTATAATAGACCAATTTAGTGAATAGCATTTATCAAAAAACACTCTCAACAAATAAATTTTTGAAAAATTTTCACTAAGTAAATTACGAAAAATAAACGAATTACAGGTATAAAACAAACAGTTCTTTCTTAACCAACCTCAAAGGAAGGATGACATTGGATGAAATGTTTCTTAACAACAAGCGATCTGAAGCCTCGATACTCACATCTGGAACATTTGTAAGATTTGTGTCGATCTACATCACACTCCACATCATCATCCGTGTCCAAATGTCGAACTAAACTGGCCCCATTGTCAAGCAGGATGTTGGATAGAGATTCATAGTTGACCATGTCTTCAGCGGCAACCAGAGATATGGAGCATTTTTTCAGTCTTGAAGAGATTTCAATGTAACGCTCGTTGTCATCTAGCTGAGATGGTAGATCTTTTGTTATCCTGACAGGGTTGGTGTTTGCTGCTTTTTTGCTGCACTCTTTTGAATGTGCGACCTGATGGACGAAGATTGAAAAAACTTATACTACATTCAACAAAATCAAGCAATCATTCGAACAACTTCGTACAAGCAGCAGTTCAGCGAGCACAACATTCAGACAACATACCTTTATATGTAGAAGTATGTATCCCTTAGAAACATGACGCCTATCACAGATGCTGCAAGACCACAGCCAGTTACCATTGTTCAACAATCTTTGCTCTCTAACTGACCTCGGCCCTCTCAACTTTGACACCAGCTGCTGAGAATGTCGAAATGAACGACTCATGCTACTAACATTTCCAGCACCGCTACTGACGCCGCCACCAGATTTTTTGTTTCCTGCATTTTGGTGAGTGTTATTGGAATGTTTGTAATACAATTTCATTTTCATATCTTACAAGCTATCTTTTTATCTAACAAATGTTCTCTTTTCGACATAAAATCGTATTTTAAAAACTTTATAAAACCATTATTTTAAACAATATTAACATCATACACATGTACGTTAATTCTCAAATCTAATCAAGAACCAAAACACGGCACAAAGATGGGATTGTTGTAAACATTCAAGTAGAATGATTAGTTTTACCTGAGTTAAAATAAAAGTGTAAATAAATTGATTTTGAAATGTAAAACGGAAAGCAAAGTACAGTGATTTCTTCGCAAGTAAAACTAAAGAAAAACGAATTTTCCTTAGAAAACATTTAGTTATACTTTTTCAAATATCCGGCGCTACAAAATGTTTTTAAAATAAAATCTAATGACAATTTCCACTAGTGGTTTTGTGTATGTATACTTTCTTGTGAGCCACGTGCTTCTCGCACAATTGGTTCCTTTAAAACTGACTAATAACCATGCACTGAAACAAATCCGACTGGATTCGAAGCCAAGACTTTATTAGCTTACATCTCTTCAAATAACTAGATAAACCAACTGAAATTTGACAATATTCAAACTTAAATTAGAATTGTAAATACTGTCATATACAACGTACATATGTGAACAGACACGCCAAAACATACTACGTTATCTAAACATCAAGCACCACACATGTGTACACATTTTGAAAAGCAAATTCCTCAATCCAACCAAGTGCATGGTGTCAATGCCTAGGGTAATTTAAAAGTCGTTAAGATTATCAAGACAGTCACATCAGTTGGATACAATTGTAATTCTTCTCGCTTTAAATCGTTTTGCTTATATACAATACGTTCATTGATTTAATATACACTTACATGCAGGTTCAGTCACGTATAAAGAAATGAATATACAATATTCAAAAGCGTGCAGTATTCAAACTTACACACGAAAAGATTAAATGCATACATACATAAATACATTAAAATTTGCCAAAATCCGGTTCAAATTCAAAATACGGTTCCACCATTTTGGCAGGAGCCTGATTTGAAATAGTAGCCGAAATTCGGCCGGAGTCCTAATTCAAATATAAAAGTTTTAATTAGTGTACTTATGGCGTGTTGAAATGTAAAAAATGGAAGTAAAATGAACTATGAAACTATAAGTAAAATGATTCGTGATTCGTATGCAAGTAAAAGTAAGAAGATTTTTGCAAGTAAAATATCACTGTACACCAACACTACCATCCTTATAATTTCAATTGTAATCACTATGTTGATGATGTTTATTAAAACTGCTCATCAGACATCGCACTGGCGTTATACGGTAGCCGACGCCGTTCATGAGGCCAAATTGTGCGATCATTTGTCCCCTCTGCTCTTTATACTGTAGATTTTCGCTGACGCCCAAGTTTAGGGCAGGCATCAACATTATCTAAAATGTTCTCAGATGTGAATGTATTATTATTAACTACAGATTTTTGACTAGAAGAATCCCGGTTAGAATCAGACGGTTTTTTTGATTTCTTTCTAGCTCTGAAAGCAGTCTTACAAAGTCGATTTTTTTCTCTTCTCACACGAGTTTCTTCAGCTGTATCTTGAGCTCTCTTGGCCTCCATTTTTTTCTTTAGATTCTGACGTTTCTTTAGATCGGCAGCATATCTGGCTTCATCTATCACACACTTTGCTTCCTCAAGTGAAATAGTTTCCTTAAGGTTTGTTTCTACCAGGTTTATAAAATGTTTTTTATATTCATTAAGTTAAGCAGCCGGGCTAGGATGAATATAGGGACAGGTTTATGGCCAAAAGAAAACAAAAAATCTATCACGACATTAGACAAAAATTAACAAACCACAATCTAAAAAGAATACTTTAACAAAATAATAAACAAGAAGATAGACACATAACCACACAAACACTCACTCACACACGCGCGCACACAAACACACTAGAGATGGGAATCAAACCCTTTTTCAAAGTACTTAAATGATCACAAACAAAAGAATGTATATTGTTTAAACGCGGGCATTCATGCATACGAACACGAACGCACATACAAAAATATATTTATTCATTCAAAAACTTAAGAGAACATTTTTAAACAGAAATCCGGCCTAATTTCGAAATCTAACTCAATTTTGAATTTTTAAAAAATGCCTAAATTTTGACCAAAAACAAGCGCTTTACGACGTTAACATCAGTTTCTTGTAGAAATATGCAAGTTGCAAAACTGGCGACACAGCAAATGCTACTCTGTTCAGTTATCTTAAAGACGGTTCAGTCAGCTCGTAAAAGTCAGCAGTTTCAAAGTCATGGTTCGGTTTTACTTAAGCAAAATTTAGTTCAGGTTCAATTTCCATCTCTAAATCACTCATACAAGTATAGCCAAACGAACCGATATTAAAGAACTTTACAGGGCAGTTACAGTGAATGGAAGTAACGTGCTGCACAATCTTATTCCTGAGCATAGCTCCAAATGGACAATAAGCACATTTCCACTGCATAGCAGCTGAATTGACTCTTGTCTTATTGCTCGTGTACGATTTATTTTCCATTGTCTTGTAAAAATTGTTTGACACTTCTTTGTTGTTGTCACCGTCATCAAGACCACCATCGTCTTCGTTCTCATCATCGTACATGCAGCAGTTTGCAATAACAGAATTGATAGTGTCATCGTAACTCGAGTTAATATCAATGGCCAGTTTAGAACTGCCGTCTGTGCTACAGCTATCATTGACAGTTTTGTTAGGGCTGTTGTTAGCATTCAAATTAGGGATGCACTTCTCTGAGTTTTCCTCATCTTCAGCCAGGTCAATGCGTAGGAGAGGAGGCGACATGCGACTGTTACTATCATCAGTTGTTGAGGATGATAATGTCGTCATTGTTTCATCAGGCAGATCAATCGGGTTGTCACTGTTTGACGTTGTAATTGTTGCAGTTGTGGCTGTCGATGCAGCTGCCGTTGTCGACGTTGCTGCTGGCGAAGCTGATGTCTTTCGTCGTTTCGGCGGGTGAATTTCTAGATAAGGAAGAGTTCAAATTAACATTTATAATCTAATTTTGAATAAATATTCGACATAAAAACCAAAATTGAAAGTCTTTTATAACTGTTTCAGCACATTTTAAAAAATTACAAAAGTATTAATTCACCGGGAGATGAAAAACAAAATGAAAAAAACAAAACCTTCAAAAAGTTTAGTTGGATCATCTGTAGAATCCTCCTTCCTACTCCTCAAACTTCGATGCTGTTGCTGATCGGATTGTTGATCATTGTTGCTGTTGCTGTGGTTACCGGCGATGGAAGTTTTTTTAGACCTCCTACAGTTACGTTTTGCACTTTTAGCCACAGGCTCCAACAGTTTAGAATCACTTTCTTTACTCAGAGTATCGTTAGCCCCAGTAGCAGTAGTAGTATTAGTGGTGATGGATGAAGTAGTAAGAGCTTCAGCCGAATTTGAATCTTTAGTAGTAATGATGTTAGCATTAATAGCATTACCAGAGCTGACAATATCAGTAGAAGGTGTTGCACAAGTTGTAGAAAAAATACTTCCTCCATTAATGTCAGAATCAGTATTTTTAGCAACACCACCAGCAGCATTGTCTGGGGTTTCACTAATTTTTGCACTGACAGTAGGGACGTGAGTAATTCTTCGCCTTGTGACCACTAACTTTGAATTAACATGCTCCTTTTTCAGATGCTGTATGATCTGACTCCTGTCTATGGATTGAGCAGAGCAATAATAGCAGCCCCAGAGACATCCTCCAGAATCTTGTGCAGAAGCAGTAGCGGTTGTTGTAATAGTAGCTGTAGTAGCAGCAGAAGTCAATGTTAATGTTGCCGAGGTAGGCAACAATGATGGTGATGCTGTTGTTGATTGCTGCGCGGTTAAATGCTGCATTGTGTTGTTGTCCGTTGACATGATGGTAGAACAAGCGGTAGATGTGTTCAGATTTCTTGGTGAACCAACGCCAGCGGTAACATTTAAGATGCTATTTCTACTGCAACTGCTGCCAATGTTACTATTTGCACTGTTGCTGTCGTTGGGCTTGCCTGCAGTATTAAATACACCCGGATTGAAAGCAATCCTTTTCAGCTGTATGGGCTGTGATGGATGAGCGTGCACGACGTGGTTGACAACTGTGGCTTGAATGGAGGTGGCGAATTCGCAGTAGAAACAACTCCACTTTACATTGGGTACTGCTGTGCTAGGAGATGAGATCAACTTGCTGATGGATGTTGTTGTCATTGTTTCGGGTTTGTTGTTGTTGTTGTAAGATGTTGTTGTTGATGTTGCCAGGCTCTGAGTTGTTGATGTAAATGATGATTTATCATGAATTTTAGAATGAGACTCGATGCTCTCTTTTGAAAAGGTAGCAAACTGACAAATGTTGCACTGATATTTAAAAATGTTTGTGGATGTTAGTAAGCTAGCCAGTGAGACAGAATGTATCATTGTTGTTGCAGCAGTAGCAGTTGTTGTTGTTGCAGCAGTAGAAGCAACAACAATAACGTTCTCTTTTGCCTTAGAGGAATCTCTGCTATCATTGCTAGCTTGACTGATGAACTCATCTTTATTCTTTTTACTACTTTTCCTTCTCTTGCTACTACTGCTAGACTCTTCCCATTCATAATCATTATCATCCACGTCAACATTATTACCGTTATCATCACTGAAATCGTAATCTCTGCATTGTTTGCTTTTAGTAGCAGCTCTTCTCGGTCTGCTTGACCTGGTTTTAGTAGCTGCTGCATCTGTGACCCGATTCTCATTGCTGCTATTGCCTGAGAGTGCTTTCATTTTGTCCATTTCAATGTCGGTGGAGTCAGAGGCATTGCTATTTTTAGATGCTGATCTGCCGTTGTCAGTTTTGCTCGGTGCCAAGGATTTTGAATTTTTTTGAAGTTGTTTATCTTTAGCTTCGACATCATCTTGTTGCCCAGTGTTGCTGTCTCCATTGGCAACATCCCTATTAGAGTTTTTATCCACGTTGTTTCTAGCACTGTTTGAATTGTTATCATCGTCATTGTTCATGTTAATGTTGTTGGATTCTCCACCATCATTAACGTTGCCACCAGCATCACCATCCTCACGTTGCTGTGGTTGCTGCTGCTGCTGCTGAACTGCTTGATTGCTGCTGCTGTTGCTCTGATTGGGCAGCCACAACCTTTGGGATATAGTTGGTGCTTTCAATGAGTGCACAACACGCGATGATGACGACGATGAAGATGATGACAGTGACGATGATGAAACAACTGCTACAGCTGCTACTGATGATGATGATGAGGAGGATGATGATGATAACGACGGCATAAAAGTGAAAACAGTTCTAGTGCCAGAAACAGAAGCAACTAAACGATTTGACGACGGTTGCAACAGCGAGTATGCTCCAGAAGACGATGAGAATGATGATGATGGTTGGATTAGCAATGACGATGACGATGAAGTCTGTGGGATCAATGACGAAGACGATGATGTCGGAAAGAATGATGACGACGATGAGGCAGCCATCATTGAATAACTTTCAATCATTTTGTCTAATTCGATGTATCCAGCCAACTCCTCTGTTGATGTGTAACATTATTAATTAAAAACTATTACATTACATTACATTTATAAAGCAATTATAAATATAAAATTTCTCCTTTTATTATCTATGTGCTTTCATGCAAACAACAACACACGTTTAGACGACATTTTTTTCCCCGAGATCGGGGGTTGCCGTTTGGCTACCTATGATGAAACCGAAATACCCCTCGACGCCATCCACATCTGTCACTCGCCTCAGTATCACGCAACCCCGCTTTCACCCTGTCCTTCTCCACCTGCTCTCTCCATCCCAATCGCGGACGACCCCTTCCTACCACTCCTTCAACCTCGAACTCCAACGCTCGCCTAATCCCGACCCTTTCATCCCTTCTCAACACATGTCCATACCACCGCAATCTCGATCTCCTTATCAATGTCACAATGTCCTCATCAGTCCCATCATTGACATCAGCTCTGTACTACTCCTCCTATCCTTCACTTTAACCCCACACATCATCCTCACCATAGCTCTTTCAGCCCTCTGCAGTACACTTTCCTCCTCTCTCCTCAACACCCAAGTTTCACCACCATATACCATCGCTGCTCTCACACATGCTTTATATACCCTCCCTTTCATCTTCACTGACCATTTCTTTCCACACAATACCCCACCCAGTTCCCTAAATTTCATCCATCTTACACGAACTCTAGCCGTAACTGCGCTCAAACATCCTCCATCCGCGTTCAGCTTATCCCCTAAGTAAACAAAGCTTTCCACTCTTTCAATACCACCACTCAACCCCGTCCTTGCGTCCGTCCTATTAATCACACCATGAACACATTTCTTACATTTGAATGTGCCTTCCACCTTTTTCAGTGCCCCCCTCACACCACTACATCTCTTATGCACCCATTTCTGACATCCTATACACAATACCGAGTTAGCCTTCACTCTCCTGTCACATACCCCACAGTGGTCTATTTTACTTATCACTCGCTCCCACCTTTCCCACTCACCATTACCTTCGTCTTACCAATATTAACTTTTAACCCTTTCTTTTCGATAACACTTTTCCATCTGTCGAATTTTAACTGCAATTCTTCCATGCTATCAGCCATCAAGACTAAATCATCTGCATACAAAATCTCAAATAACAACCCCTCCATTATGTTTCCACACACAACATCCATCACAATTGCAAACAGAAACGGTGATAACACTGATCCTTGATGCACTCCTACCTTAACACTAAAAGCGTCCGACATCCCCCTTCCAACCCTCACTTTTGTCTTGGCCCCTTCATACAGCTGCATCACAGCTTTAACAAGTCTCTCATTCACTCCTTTCTTCCTCAACGCCCATTCAATGACCTTCCTCGGTACTCGATCAAAAGCCTTTTCTAGATCCACAAAACACATGTACAATCTTCGTTTCTTCTTTCTATAATTCTCCTACAACATTCTCACCATGAACAACGCATCCACCGTTCCCCTACCAGGCATAAACCCACACTGCATTTCATTAACTGTCACCATATTTCTCAACCACCTCTCAAGCACCCTCTCCACTACCTTCAATCCGTGCTCTAGCAATTTCACACCCCTATATGACCCACAATCTCTCACATCCCCTTTGCCCTTATACAACGGCACCAACACACTGTGTCGCCAATCCTCAGGTATACCTTCATCATCAAACATACTGTTAGCAATTCTCATCATAACTTCAATTCCTATCACCCCACTCGCTTTTATATGTTCTGCCGCCACTTCCGAAACCCCTGTCGCCTTACCTAGTTTCATTTCTCTAACTGCTTTCTCTACATCCTCCATCGTCACCTTCTCTATAGGTCCGTGTGTGACCGCGGATTCCACATCTCCATCCCACTCATTCTCTTCATTCATCAACCTTTCCATATGAGCTTTCCACACCTGAGCTTTTTCCTCCTCATCTATGCACAACTTGCCAGATCGATCCCAAACACATCCATTCCCTATAACATCTTTCCTATCCCTCATTGACTGCTTTGCTACTTTGAACATTTTCCTCGAACTCACATCAAATTCCATTTCCTTCATTAACCTATCTGATGCTTTCATCATTGCAGTTGCCACTGCCTGTTTGGCAACCTTCTTAGCCTTCCTATACTCAAACTCCGCTTCCTCCGTCATGTCCTTTCTCCATACCCTAAACCTCTCCTTCTTGACCTTCAAAACCCTTCTTATATCTTCATCCCACCACCACATCTCACCATGCCTACACTTTCCTTTCGTCCATCCACATACTTTATCTGCCGTAGCCAACACACAGTCCCTGTATCTCTCCCAAACATCTCCATCCTTACCACTCTCCCAATTTTCAGCCACCTTCACTTCAAATGCCTTCCTCACCTCTGCATCCTGCAACTTCCATGTCTTTCTCTTTGCCACAAACTTATCCTTCTTCCTCCTCCTCCCCATTTCTTTTGATGTCACATCCATCACAACCATATTATGCTGCAGCATACCAGGTATCGCCTTCACATTCTTCACATACTTACTATGTTTGGCCCTTACCAATATATAGTCTATCATCGACCTATGCATGTGCTTTCATGCATGTTGTAAAATTTTCAACCTCTGACAGAGAAATCATTTTAAAGAATAAAACTATACAAAACATAATAATTATAATAACAAAATTAATTGTAATTAATAATTATGTTTAACAGTGAATAAAATAACACAAAAGAGACCGGAAGATTGTGGATGCAGTTCCTTCTTATGCCTCAAGACGTCGAATCTGCTGTAGGCCCTGAAACTGCAGTAGTTGCACGAGAATGAATGCGTGGCTTTGTGGGTCTCATAAACTGACTGGTCTGCCACCTGGTGGGGAGTTTTTTCTACTTATAACAACAATTAAAAACACAACCACATAAGCTAAAAAGGCATTTTTTTAAAATTATAAATGACAAATAATTAAAACTAGCCTAGGGAACAAATCACAAAAGCAAAATCCTCTCAATCAGACAAAACTTTGATCCATTTTAAAAATAACATTTATCCGGAAAAAATAGGCCAAAGTATAGTAAAAAAAGAGAGCATCAAAGACACCGAAGAATCAAGCAACAAACCTTGAACTGACAGAAATTACAAAGAAACTCTTTGACAGTTTTAACAGTTCCATCAGCATCAATGGACCTGCTTGCAAACATGATCTCTGTAGGAGCCGTGATTGGTCGGTTTGGCAACAGGTGAAAGGAGTTAGGGTTCAATTCTCCATGTTGCTATTTTTTCAGGTTGGTCGGTTAGAAGATTTATTATTATTTAATGTTTACTAATTAATTTTTTAAATGTTGTAGATTACAAAAATTTTATATAAAAAAAGATGTCATAAAGAAGAAGTGAGACTAACAAGTACAGTCATTCCTGAACTGTTAGGGACACGATGTTGGCTGACGCAAAGAACATTCTGCTGCTGCTGAGTCATTTTATGCTGCTGCTGCTGTTGTTGCTGCTGGGCCACGACAAATGACGACAACCTGGGTCCGGATGTGGAAACAATGGCCTGTATCGATGAAGGGTTACCTCTCACTCTGCTGATTTGGTTGGATTCGATAATGGAATGACCGGTATTTCCCGAGTACGGAATTTTTCTGACGGTGGTCTGAGAGTTGGATGAGCTACTCAAAAGAACCGACTGCCCCCCAGAACGATTGTTGATGAAGTAAAACGTTCTAGGAGGTTGCTGTTGTTGCTGGCTACTGACTGCGACAACAAACCCTCCCTGACTTGTCTGTACGATTGGTCTGGGCATAATTGATTTAGGAGCCATGATTCTCGGAGATAGTTGTGGGGCAATGATGATAGGGGTGCCCGTGGTCTCATTTTGAGAAAGGGAGGTCTGATCAAAAGGTCTGGAAACTATATGACTATCTGTGTGGTTTTAAATTTAAGATTGATTAATTTAAAAATTTCACATTTTATATTTAAAATTAAATCAACTGATGTAGAAAAGTTATTAGTGGCATTAAATTTTGAAATCTACCTGAAAAATTTAATAAATCTTCAGGTTCTGATTTAATCTGATCCAAGTCTATCAGATCTGAAATTATCAAATGTACCAATCAGAGAATTAGATAAAATATAATTATACAAAATTATATTTATAATTGTATAAAATTTAACATAAAATACAAATTATAAAAATTCAATAAAATTTAATTCTTCAAGTGGTTTATCACAAATAAGATAATCTAAATTTAAAAATAATTACCAGAATTATCTGTCTTGTTTGATTTTACTCTTGTCATTCTTCATAAATCTATGAATTTGTAAGGAAAATTTTCAATTTGATATGCTGTCAGTCTGGCTGTTAATAAGAAAGTTAATTATATCATTGAAAATTATACACAAGAAAACCTTTCAAGTTTTGACAAAATTTAAAAAAGCAGAAAAAATTATTCTATACCATAACATCTTTATTCCTATACCATTAATGATTAATATAACAGTACAGTTCCATTTATTAATAATGTTTCAACTTGCTTAGTACTTAACTTTAAGACATGAAAATGAAATATTTGCTTTTTTATTATTAGTTTTGTATAATTTTCAACTGACTGCTGAACTTAGCTCCATAGTTTACAAATTTCTAGAAAATGCACCATGCATATATTTAGTTTAATACATTTTAATTATTAATTTTAAATATTAAATGAACATTTTTGAGCTATGAAATGGAGAATAACTTGTTGAACAATTTGAATACTGGTCTATTTGTTTACTAATTAAATTAATGCAAATGAACTGTGATATGAATGATATGCAGAACCCATCTCTATCTAACAATCAATCAAATACACATGCCTCCACACTCTAATCTGTAGAGTCTACAGATTACCAATACACACAAACTAGGAATGGCAGAATAGCACCAGTTAACTGTGCTCTAATACTAATATTTCAGAAAGCACGTTTGCATTGCAATACCAAACATCACCAACAACCTTGGTGATGTTTTAATTTTAAGTTAAAGTTAAAAGCTAAACCTAAAATAAAAAGCAAGTTAATCCCGTAAAATTAATAATTTTAATTTTAAATAGCACACACGCACCAACACACACACGCACGATGATTTTTTGAATGGATATTTGTCATTTATTCCGAAATATTAGCAAATATTATCAGACGCGTTGGATTAATTTTCCTTGTTTACAAATAAAATAGACGCATTCAACGGGACAATGAGAAAAACGGTTTTTTGAAAGAGGCAAGTCGCTAACTTTATCTAATATTTAAATTTTAGTGTTTAAATAATAAAAATTATTAATTAAACAAATAAATAGTTAATTATTCAAAACGTACCTCTACTAATTTGCTCTGCCGGTCTCAAGGAAATTATTGAAAAAACGATTTTCGAGACACCATTTCACATTAAGAAGGGGAAAAACAATAACATAATAGAGCATTACATTAAAAACAACGGAAGTCGGCGAACAAAGAATCAAAACTAACGCGAATCTTTGGAACGCATCACGTGACAATTAGATGGCCGATTGATGACAATTTGCGTCAATTTTAACCTTTTTTGACTTATGGTAGCATGCTGTGGTCATGATTTTGTGCCTAGAATCATTTCTCAAGATGTTGGCACAGTGGCATATTTATATTGAACGATTAACATTGCACGTTAAGGCAAGCCAAACATGCAACATTGTACAGTGAGTACATGATGATGCGCTGCATCAAAACAAAATGCCGCACGTGTAAGAAAGCACAAGATTGAACACACCACATGTGTATAACATCTATACACGCCTTAGTTTTGAAAATGAAAATGTTAGTAGCAATGCAATAATAAGCACAATACTTAAAGAGTTCGCATACTTATATCTACACTTACATTACTTACACTCATACGGATACGCGCGCACATACACACGTACATAAGCTTCAATATAAGCACATACGTGATGATCATGAACCAGCAACACATCAAAAGAACCGACCTTGACATTACAGAAATTCTCAATTTAATTTCATTGCTATGATATCGACCGTGACGATGATGTTAATTATGACCCAACTATACAAAATTCTTAATTATTTAATTAATTAATTAGCGACATCGATGATGGTCATGATGCTACAAGAGCATTGCCGTATACTGATGATGATTCTACAGAAACATCTCAATGATAAATGAACGAGCAAACGAATAAAGAAAGGAATAAATAAATAAATGAGAGAATGAAAAAGTGAGTAATGAATATATATATATATATATATATATCAGCAATAACATTCGATTTTCTGATAACGGTAGCCCCTGCAACTGTAACATTCAAAATTTGCACCTAGCTAGCGGCTTGCAATCATTCCCCAGATGCAAATGTATGTTCATTTAAACCATAAATGTCTCATCTAATACATCAAGATGTCTATGATTTACACATAAGCATCAAGTTTTTTCAAGCGTGTCAAGTCGGGCTGTATGTACGTGTGTGTGTGAGTGTGTGTGTGTGTGTGTGTGTGTGTGTGTGTGTGGTGTGTTGTGTGGTGTGTGTGTTATGTTTGTGTGTAATTTATGTACGTCCTTATGAATGAACGAACGAACGAATGAATGAATAACGTTAATCACATATTAAATTAAGAAAAACCAAAAATTTAAAAAAAAGAAAAAACACACTGCAACTACTACTGCAACTACACTACTACTGCTACTACTATTACTACTGCTACTACTATTACTACTACTTCAACTGCTACCACTTCTACTACAATTACTACGACTACTACTACTACTACTAATACTACTAATACTACTACTACAGACAAAAATACTAATAATACATGTAACAAGCAAATAAAAGCAGAAAATAATTTACTTTTATATACTGATAAAAAAATCATTACCTACACGTGTATATATATATATTAAAAAATATATTGTAAATAACAATTAACCTCTAAATTCTAATCCCTATACCATTGAATTATCATAACACCTGAAATCGAGTTGTAAACATCTTGCTAATTTCAAGACAACTTTTTTTCATAGCAAAATCTTCTTTTCCATTCGTTTCGATTGTTGATTGAATTGAAGTTGGAGTTAGGGATTTATTGAAGTTAGGGACACAACAGTAAGGTTTGTTTTACTTTAAATTACTATTTAAGATTTCATTTTATCAATTAAACATTTTTTAATATATATAATATAAAATAAGGAAGCTCAGATGTTTAGTTCTGCTGTGATGATTGACTTGTGACATTTTGATTTTTATTTCATTTTTGTAATTTTCAAAAATTGAAATATACAAGAAGTAACAAAACTTTAGACACCGATTATGAGCTACTACCCGATCGGTCAAGCTGTTCCACCTCCAAGTGGCGGATCTGGAGGCTGGGGTGGCCAGCAGGGTGGAGCTGGAGGATGGGGACCACCTCCAAATGCCGGAGCAGGCTGGAACCAACCGACCGGTGCATGGGCAGCTCCATCTGGATATGGAGGTTAGTTTAGTTGGGGCTTTTTATGTTTTTTTTAAATTAAATTAAATTTAAAGGTCTTTTTTACACCCATTTTGATGAGCTTTTGTTTTTATGTCAGACTTTATATCTTATTTTCAACTGTATTCATTAATCTAGGAGAAGAAATAGTGTGTATTTATAATTGCTGTGTTTGTGTATGCGTAGTTTACAGTTTACCTCCTGTATGTGTATTGGATAGTATATTAATACTTTATTTGGTTGGCCGTTTTTGGGTTTTTATTTTAGCATGTTTGTGTTTTAGAAATGCTCATTTTTAGTTTTTAACATGCAATTTATTCAGTTCACCTCTAATGTCTGCTGATTATTTTTTTCAACATTTTCACACCTTACTAAGCTAATAACTAATACATTTGCTTTTATTTTCACCTTTTTGCTTGCTAAAATTCAATGTTGTTTGATGAAAAGGAGGAGGAAACTACCCCCAGGGAAACATGGCAGGTGGTGCCTATCCTCCAAGTTATGCATCACAATTTCCTAACCGACCATCGGCACCATCAACATCAAATGATCAATGGCAGCCAGGAATGAATCGAAGATCACCATACCCCACCCCATCTGCACTTGATCCATCTTTCTCCCAGCCTGGTGCTTACCCACCAAATGTTCCATATCAGCCACCATCATCTGGGGCATATCCACTTTGCCCTCCATCAGATTTTGGTGGTTTAAACCCTAATCCACCACCATATGGTTTTTCTGGAAATCCCTGCCCACCTAACATGCCAGGAGGGGGATGCTACCCTCCAGGGTCTTCCATGTACCCCCCTGGTCCATCTCCTTATCCACCCGGGCCTTCAAACTTTGGAATGGGTAATCCAGATCCCAATCTACCTCGTGGTGTATCTGGATTTAATCCTTTTACAGGTATTTGAATGGAAAGAGGAATTAATATAGATTTACAAGATTAAGCTGATGATGATGATGTTGGTGGTGATGATAATGATGACGTTATTGATGATAATATAGATGTTTCTGTCAGTTGTGATGACGATGATGATAATGATTTTATGCTGAGAACTATGTAAATGACGTCATAGTTGTTGATGACGACGACGACGATGATGATAAAACTAAGAGACACATGGATTCTGTTGGCTGGCATTGTATATGTAACAAAATTTAACAATCACTCTACTTATTTCTTTCAAGGTTTAGTTGTTTTAATATTCTGCATTTTACTTATTATTGCTTTTGTTTATTTATCTGGTTTTATTATTATTATTATTGTTATTATTATTGTTGTTGTTATTTACATTTGGTCATTATATTATTACTATTGCCTTACTGCGAATTTTATTTTAATGTAAAGGAAATCAGTATGATCTGATACCTTACGCTTTAATAATTTTATCTTATATACATATATATATATATATATATATATAGAATATATATAGAATATATATATATATAATATATATGTATATGTACAAATAGATTATCTTGATGTATTTTTTTATAATATGGGTATGGTTGGTTGGTTGATTTGCTGGTTGGCTAGTTGGTTGATTTTCAGGTTGGTTGATTGAATAATTAATTAATTGACTAATTGGTTATTTGAGTGACTGATTGTTTTTGATTGACTGGGTGAATTAAATTTAACTTTGAACCGCGTTTTTTTCTTCACTTTAATAAATTATTTCATTGCAAACATTTGTTTTTAATTTCATATAATAAAGATAACTACAATAATAATAATTTTAATTATTATTAATAATGAATAATAATACCGTGAGAGAGAATTCATATTTACTTATGACAATCCCTGGCACCCATAATTAGTTTTTTAACTAATAGTTTATCTGGCAGAGTGTATGTATGTATGTATGTATGTATGTATGTATGTATGTATGTATGTATGTATGTATGTATGTATGTATGTATGTATGTATGTATGTATGTATGTATGTATGAATGTATGTATGTATGTATGTATGTATGTATAACAAACAGCTGCAATATATATATATATATATATATATATATATATATACACTTACATTTATAAAAATGATTATTGTGACATCATTAATATTAATACGGAGTTGATATATAGATAGATGAATAGATATTTAAAAGGCTCTTATAAGCATTGATTATGTTGATACATGTGTATGTATGTATGCATGTATGTATTTATGTATGTGTTTATTTATATATATATATATATATATATATATATATATATACCTTTGCTTCTTGCAATGCAAGCTGTTTATTGAAAGAGTAGTAACTTGTTTGTTGTTGTTTTTGATGTTGTTGTTGATGTTGTTGTTTGATTATGTGTGTTTCTGTTGAAAGAATATTTGTTATATGCATTTAGAGTCTTTGATTATTGTTTGTTTCCATATTACCTCTAGCATAACAGACTGTAATTGTTATTCTTCTTGTTTTTCTTTTTCTCATTATTATTATTATTATTATTATTAAGTAGTTTCTCTAAACTGGCTGTATGATGAGTTTGAACAGTGCATATTTATTTAGGCAGGCAATGTTGTTTTCTTTCTAATTGTTAGTTGCATGTCTGTTAGTCTGAATGTATGTATGCACGCATGTATGTATGCATGCTTGTATGTATGTATGTATGCATGCTTGTATGTATGTATGTATGCATGCTTGTATGTATGTGTGCATGCTTGTATGTATGTATGCATGCTTGTATGTATGTATTTATGCATGTTTGTATGTATCTTTGCTTGTTTGGACATGTACGTTCGTACACATGTATAGCTTTGTAGT